AACATTTTATCCTGACTTTTATAAAAATATAATGTGAAGGGCCGGGCACGGTGGCTCACAGCTGTAATCCCAGCACTTTGGGAGGCCTAGGCGGGCGGATCACGAGGACTGGAGATCGAGGCCATCCTGGCTAACACGGTGAAATTCCGTCTCTAATAAAAATACAAAAAAATTAGCCGGGCGTGGTAGTGGGCGCCTGTAATCTCAGCTTCCTGGGAGGCTGAGGCAGGAGAATGGCATGAACCCAGGAGGCAGAGCTTGCAGTGAGCCGAGATCGTGCCACTGTACTCCAGTCTGGGCAACAGAGCGAGACTTCGTCTCAAAAAAACCAAAAATTATATATATATATATATATATATATATATATATATATAATGTGAATTTTACAATAATGTAATAAAATTTTTAAAGTGATGTTTCTTATATTTTATTAAATGTATTAATAACTGACTGATATTTAAAGCATACTAATAGCATAAATGACAAATAAACCAACACAGAAAAGCTATACATAAATACCATTGTACATTATTTAATTTGGCAAGAATGGTATTTACTTTAAGTTCTGCCAAAACTTGCCTATAAATATATGTGTTTACAGGCATTAGGATAGAGAAGCAATCACACAGAACAACAACATTTTGGAATACTACATTATGCTATAAAACAGTAAATTCAATTCAATTAAATAATTAAAATAATATTAAATAAATTCGTGTTCTGTTTTGGTATTTGGATATGCGTTCATTTTTGTATTTTCTTTTTTGTATCTTTAGTAGAGATGGGGTTTCACCATGTTGGCCAGGCTCGTCTCAAACTCCTAACCTCAGGTGATCCACCCACCTCGGCCTCCCAAGGTGCTGGGATTACAGGCGTGAGCCACCGCACCCAACCCATTTTTGTATTTTCACATGTATGTTTCAGTACTGAGCATATGTGTGTATGTGTATGTGTGATTATAAACTTATAAAATACTTTATTCATCTATATAGTTATGCAAATTAAAGAGTTTCATGTGAAGAGACAGTAGAAAACACAAAAGGAGAAGAGTTATAAAAAGCATTTGCAATACCTAGGGCCTACAGAGGAGTTGTATTAATATGAAAAATAGTAGCTTAATATTTTGGAAATGACACACACAGTAACAAATATCTATATGAAATTAATAAGATATTGGCACGAAGTTAAGAAAAAATTAACATAAGTATGCTCACTATTGGTCTATAAAATGCCTATAATAATAACTTTTTATTTATCATATTATAGAAAATAAAATAACTGTATAAATAGCACTCTTTTTGCTTGATAGCATTAGGTAATTCACATGTTTTTTGATACAAATAAACATTGGTCATTTTTTATGGTAATTTCAATATTTTCTTCTAGAATATATGTTCATAATTATAATTGAAATTATAGAATTTCCAGAAACTTATTTTTTCAGTTGTGACATGTATTCTTATGATTGTCTTTTTACATTAATATACCTTTGATTCAGAGTAATAATAGATAAACAAAATAATTATAAAGTTAATACAGTGTGTTCCCAACTCCAAGTATCTCCTAAGATCAATATCCTCCATCATCATAAGACATGGTGTTAACATATTTACATTGATAAGTTGAAAATTATTCCATGCCAGACCTTATTTTATTTTTTCAATAATTTCTTTTGTATACTAAAAACAAAATTCTAAGCTTCCTCAAGCAACTGAATGAACCCAACCTTCAGCCAAGGGGATTTCAAAGTAAATTCTAAAACTTGTTCCAGCAATGATGGGAAAGTGAGTGGTCAGACATGACTCATTAATTCTCCTCTCATTGGAATTAAGGCACCAGTGGCCAGCATTAGCACTGAAACAAAGATCTTAAGACTAACAAAACTACATTTTTGCTATAAACACTCTTTATAGAAAAAAGACACCAAATTACAACCTGATTCTAGCATAACATCACATGACAAACAGGAAGACCTAATGATCTATTCTCTATGAAGTCTGCTACCTGGAGGCTTCATCTACATAATAAGAACTATAATCTCCACAAACCCTTGTCTTAATCTAGACACTCATTTGTGAGGAGTGTATTACCTTACATTTCAACCAATTGCCAATCAGAAAATCTTTAAATTCACCTATGTCCTGAAAGCCCAGGCATAATCTTTTCCTGCCTTTCTGGACTGCATAAATGGTATAGCTCACATGTGTTGATTAACATCTACCTGTAACTTCTGACCCATTAAAATATATAAAATCAAGCTGTAACCAAACCATTTTGGACACATATTCTCAGGAACTCCTGGAGTGGTGTCATGGGCCTTGGCCACTCATATATATCTCAAAATGAACTATTTTAAATATTTCATAGTTTGTCCCTTTTAGTGGATATCTTCTTTTTCTTTTTCTTTTTCTTTTTTCTTTTTTTTGAGACGGAATCTCTCTTTGCTGTTGCTTTTGTATATTTGTTTGTTCCCAGACTCCATCAAGTTCATCACTTTGAATTCAGTTGTCATGTTCCTTTATTCTCTTCTGGTAAATCACAGTTTGTATTTCTGAAGTTTTCCAGGTGAATATTTTATAGATACAAATGTATCAAGTAGGTTGAAAGTGCCATTTGGGACACTTCTATCTTTACTTATTTAATCATTGCTTGTTTTGTCGATCACAATGAGTGCTGATTTCTCCATCTTCTATATATGTTAGTCTATTTTCTGTTCCAAATCCATTTTAAATGTATTTTGGAAAGTTGATCCTATTATTCTATGTAATATTTCACTTGAGTCACAAAGGTATTCATTTTATGATTATTTGGTCTGAAATTCATATAGCTATTCAAGTTTTCTTTGGTTCATATTTTCATGGTATATATTTTTCTATCCTTATTTTTTCTATTCGTGAATATCTAAAGAAGTTTTCTTGGAGAGAGAGAATTGCTGGGTCCTAATTTTTTAGTTGACTATGAGGAATTATTTCTTAATAATATTACTCTTTTATCCAATTATTCTTGTTTTAATTTTGTTTCTATTAACATTATTATTACATGACTAATATTTTATAGGTTATCATAAGGGTAACAATAAGACATTTCTACGATTGAATTCTAATTCAAAAATGTAATACCCTTTTACATATAGAACAGAGATATTATAACTGTATTTGTCTATTTTCTCTTTTCTATCCCTTTTAAATTTTCTCAATTTGTAGTAATATATGCTATAAAAATGGAGTATTGGAATTTTATAATTGCTTTACACATTTATATAATAAAAGAAATACAAATGCAAAAACAAAATTTAAACCTCATTTTTCCATTGTTGACAATCTTTATTTTTTTGGATAGATTCAGGTAATGGATATATATAATATGGCTAGTCACCTAGAAAGTCTGCTAAAATGTCTATGGAAAGATTATTGTGCTGGGAATAGATTTTCTCAGGATTTATTTGTCCTACAAAATATTTATTTTTCTTTGATTTGTCATCTCCACAATGTCAAGAAGATGCTGTATCTGCAAATGGGCAATCTGCAAACCAAGGACACGTCACTATATTACTGTGCAACAGAAGTGCATGAGGAAAGGCCAGTGTGAGCACAGACACAAACCTCCAGGGACACATGGGCAAATTAGCTGCAGGGGGCGCTCAGGACTCACTGATCAGAATCAATCCCAGAGGGAGGTGCACAGAAAGTTTAGGACTGCTTTCCTGCAAGGATGGAAAAAAAAACTTTCTCCATCTGAGAGTTTCTCCAGGGAACTTCTCTAATTTCAGAATTCTGTGCCTACCTACCAATGCCATCTCTAATTTTTTTAAAAATATTGTGTTATGAGGACATATTCTCCCATGGACAAAATGCAAACTGACACAGAGATGAAAAGCACTGAACCATGGTCGCCAGAAATGGAGACGTGTAGAAGCTCAGTGGGACCTGTTGAATCTTCTCCAATCACACTCACAGCAGAGAACTTACTGGGTCTCCCTGACTAGAATAGTCTTTAGGGATGGTGATACCAGCCTAAAGATGGTGGACTATGGTCAGAGTCATATAGAATATGGGGACCACTACAGTTTTTATGTCTGACCCTTCTCCTGACGCTAAAGTATGCAAATTAATATCAACACTCATCTGGTGCTTCTTTTGATTCTAATTGATTTTCTTTCTTTTTAGTTGTCATTCTCACTATTCTTTGGATTTTCCTGCTCCCTGGAAAAGGTAAACGTGGTCACCATGATCTCAACTCCAGGGCTGAAGCCCCTTCCCTTTAATCAGTTTAGGCTCAGGCTGTGGCTACTGCAGCCATGTGGAAGAGGCTGAAGGTACTTTTGGCTTCCCTGGAAATGCAGTAGCCATTTGTAGTGAAAGAAATAAGCTTGGCTGGTTAAAATGGGAGGTGGATGTAGAATTAATTGGTTACTACATAAACTGTCCTTCTTCACCAGTGCTTTTAGGACAAGATTGTGAAATTTGTAAGAATCAAAATGGAGTTGCATGTGTTAAAATCCTGACAAATGGAGTCAGGGAAGTGTAGGGAGAATTCTCACACACATATCCCTGATAACAAGAACTATCATAAAATAATTCTTGCACAAAGGCCAACACAACCTCCCAATCATGACTTCTGCCAAGGCATCTCCTCAAAACTACTTGTCCAGCCTTAGATTAATGCCATCTGAATTACACTGATCGTGTTACTATCACTGCTCCTCACCACAGATGCACTACCCTACTGAGTCCTGAAACCTGACTCCATCCCATAGAGTAGGGCACAGATGAGGGCAATGCAAATCTCCACCAGCTCCACCCTCCTCTGGGCTGAAAAGCAGAGCACAGGGCCTGGCTCAGTGACTCCTGTGCCCCACCATGGACACGCTTTGCTCCACGCTCCTGCTGCTGACCGTCCCTTCATGTGAGTGCTGTGATCAGGGACTCACTCAGGGATAAAACATCTGTTCTCTCCTTTGTGGGCTTCATCTTCTTCTGCTTTCTCCACAGGGGTCTTCTCCCAGGTCACCTTGAAGGAGTCTGATCCTGCGCTAGTGAAACCCACACAGACCCTCACGCTGACCTGCACCTTCTCTGGGTTCTCACTCAGCACTTCTGGAATGGGTGTGGACGGGATCCGTCAGCCCCCAGGGAAGGCCCTGGAGTGGCTTGCACGCATTGATTGGGATGATGATAAATACTACAGCCCATCGCTGAAGAGCAGGCTCACCATCTCCAAGGACACCTCCAAGAACCAGGTTGTCCTTACAATGACCAACATGGACCCTGTGGACACAGCCACATATTACTGTGCACGGAGACCACAGAGACACAGCTCAGGGCGCCTCCTGTACAAGAACCCAGGCTGCTTCTTATTGGTGCTCCCTCCCCACCAATGCAGAACAGGAAAGTGCGGCTGAGATGCCATTTCCTGCTAGGGCCTGGGTTTCCCATCACCACTAGACCCAGAGCCCTGTCTTCCTCCTTCTTCTTTACTAATAACTGGCATGTCTTCTGTTAATGGTTCATGCAAGCAGCAGCTGTATCCTGTTTGACAAAGATTCAGCATAAAATATCTCTGTTACTTGGGCCAGATGTATCACTGTTATGTGGCCACCAGATTCTTGGGCTCATACCAGCCCAAAGGGCAGAATACAAATCAGCAGAACATATGCCTTTATTAAACTGCGGGAAATGACATTGGAGAAAAATGTAGGGATAAGAGAGCAGGAGGAATTGTGAAAATCCAGATAATAGCTTGTAGAGAGAAAGTTGCAATCATAAAGTAATTTTATAAAACAATAAAATAGATGGAATATGTCCTCATCATGGAGTGTCTCACAGTGTCAGTGCACAAATAAATTTCTAAAAATGTCACAGGGTAGGTGTGACACAGGAGGCTTATTTCCACACAAGGAGCCCATAAATATTTCCACACAAGGAGCCCAGGTAAGTAAAAATCCAACTCTTAGAAAGGGAAGTGCCTCAAGTCGACTTCAGAAACCCACCTCAGTGAGTCTGAGGAACAACGTGGAAAAGAAATGGGAAATCCAACAATATCTTTCTTATGAAAATCCTAGCTCATGTTTGAACACGAAACACAACTGTCCACAATTTTAGGAAAATCATCCCATGGCAACAAATGACTATACTCAAAAGCTACTAAACTAAGAGAGTTTCAGCAATGAGCAGGTCAGTGCTGATATCCCGGGAGAATCAAGGCTCTCAGGCACATTGTGTAAAACCCAGAATTGAGCCACACAATCTATGGCCAAGTGATCTTTGACAAAGGTAACAAAAATATGCACGGGGAGGAGGACACGCTCTTCATGCCATGTTGCTGGGACAATTGGACTGCCATATGCAGAAGAATGAAACTGGACCCCAACATCTCAACATATACATAACCAACAGAAAATGGACTGAAGGCTTGATTATAGGACCTCAGACTATAAACGTACTTGAAGGAAACCCCAGGAGAACTCCTCTGGACATTGGGCTTAGTAAATAATTTATGACTAAAACCTCAAAAGCACAAGCAATAACTTTAAAAAAAAATAGACAAATGGAACTTAAACTAAAGAGCTTCCACACAGAAACCTAGTGAACAGACAAATTACAGAATGATAAAAAATATTTGCGCACATTGCATCTGGCAGGGGACTGATAGGCAGAATTTACATGGAACTGAAACAACTTCACCACAACAACAGGTACGAAAAACAACCTCATTACAAAGGACACGAGTAGGAATTTTTTTAAACAACACATAAAACTGGACCATAGATATGTAAACAATACTAAACACCACTAATTATCAGGGAGATGCAATTGAAACAGCAAAGAGATATCTTACTCCAGTCAGAATGGCTCTTATTAAAGAGGCAAAAATAAGAGACATTGGTGAGGATTGAAGGCAAAGGGAACTGTCAGTCACTGTTGGTGAGGATGTAGATGAGCACAGCCTCTGTGGAAAACAGTATGGAGATTTTTCAAAGAAATAAAAGTAGGACTACCTTTGATTCAGTAACCCCACCACTGCGTAACTACCCAAAGGAAAAATAAATCATTATATCAGAATGATAATCAGACTTTTGCTTTCCTGCAGAACTATTCACAATAGCACAGACATCAATCTAAGGAATTATCCTGTGTCTAACAAAAGATAATTTTATAAAGAAAATGTTACATATATACAATTAAATACTATCCAGCCATATTAAGGAATGGAATCATGTGTTTTGCAGCTACATGGATGGAACTCGAGGTCATTATTTTAAGTGTAATAACTGAGAAACAGAAGAGTAAACACTACATGTTCTCACTTACAAATGGGAGCTAAGTAATATGTGCACAGGGACACACAGAAAGGAATGATGCACGTTGGAGTCTCAGAAAGATAGGAGAGCAGAAGGTGGGAGAATGGTGGGAAACTACTTAAGGGGTACAATGTACATTATTTGGATCATGGATACATTAAAGCCAAGACTACTATGCAATATATATATGTAACAAAATTGTAGTCACTTCCCATAAATTTATACATATAAAATAAAAACAAATACAATTAAAATATGAAATTATTAACAGTTGATCAATAATCCTGAAAATTAAAATTTATGATCAATAAATGAAAATAATAGTTGAACGTCATCGAATTCTAAAACATTGTCTACTCAAGTGACTATCAAGAAAATGAAGGACAAGCTTCAGAGGAGAAAATATTTGCAAATCATGTATCTACCAATGTAATTATAATAAGAACCTGCAAAACTCAACAGCAAAAAGAAGCAATCTGTTTAAAAATAGGCAAAGATTTGTGCAAACCTTTTATCAAAGAAGATGTACAGATGACACATCAGCATATGAATATGATTTTCTATTAGAGAAATGCAAATAAAGATGAAAAGGAGACACGACTCTAGGCTTTAGAATGACAAAAAATAAAGAAGAAATGCTATCAGTACCAGTGTCAGTGAGCATGCCAGGACCCTAGAGACTAAAATATTGCTAGTACAAAATGAAACAGGTTCTGGGGAAAACTATTTACAGTTTCTTATCAAATTAAACATGTCCTTAATCTATGACCTAGGAATCTCACTCCTGAGTATGTGCTACAAAGGATTAAAATCATATGTTCACACACGTGTATTCAGATATTTAACATTGTGTGTGTGTGTGTGTGTGTGTGTTAGAAACTAAAAACAACATGAATGTCTTTCAATATTTGACACAAAGCATTGGAGGTGAACTCCAGACTTTCTCCTGAGTGAGAGAAGCCCTGCCTGAAAGATCCCCAGAAACACAGTCACGGATATCACTGTCACCCTCGCATGTCACTGATTTGGGCTGGGCTCTCTCTGTCTCTTCCCTGATCAGGACCAGATGTTAAGCTCCACCACTTGCAGTTGCAAATTTATATTTTCAACAATGCACTGAGGTCTAAATTGCTCTACAGACTCAACCAGACAAACATGGGTGCCTTTGAACAAACAGTGCCTGACACTTGTACTGACCCCAGGAGAACTCTTCCCCACTCTCTTTCTTCTTGGTTCTCTTCTGCAAGCCAGGAGCCCTGCAGTTTAGCCTGGATCTCCCCTGCATCCATCCATCTCCTTCCAAGCGCATTTGACCACAGCCTCCACTGTTTTGAGAGCATTTGTGGGCTTTGTAACTCTCCACACTGTTGTAAATGAAATCAGATCCTTCAAGACCACATTTAGGACTCTATTTTATGACTAAATTTTAGCAACCACACCCCCTGCTCCTGAGACAGACAGAGCTCCTAAATAAGGTTCTGCAGGTGGAGATTAGGAGCATTTTTCATCTTTAATGTAGGAGCTGAGTGCTCAGTGGAGGGATGAGGAGAAGCTTTCCACTTTATCAGCATGCAGATCCTGCTGGGGTGGACCCTCTGCCATAGGGGTAGGGCTGGGAACCAGGCAGCCCATGTCCTCCGTGGGGCTGCACCCAGGGCAGAGGCTCCATCCATGAGTGGGGATGTGTGGAAGAAGTGAGTCTCTGGTTCTCAGTAAGTCTTGTCAAGGACTGAACCTCAGCAGCATGACCTGTGAGCAAGGTCAGAGGGCCAATGTCCTGGCCCCGGGGGAAGAGTATGCTCTGGTGGGAGCTGGGCAGAAGGAGTCCTGTCTACTTGGCTGCAGCCATCTGCGGTGGAATTTACATCATGCTGAGCTGGGGCATAGAAGGAAGGAAAAGAATCTTTGATCAAATATGAATATCATGGCTGACCTTACTGAGTTTTTGTAGATTATCTCGAATAAATGTTCCTTCACTTTCTGTATGCTGATAGGGCCTTTCCAAACCTGTCAATTTTTCAAAATAAGTCTCACCAGTTTCATGGAGGCATGAATATGTCAGACTCCTTATACTGTCATGTGAGATGTGGAACTGTTTCCTTCACTGATTATAAAATAATGGGTTGACTTTTTTTCCAACACTTACACATACCATCAATTGTCCTATTGCTTATATGGTTACAACCAAAGCAATGCTGATATTATTCACATCTGTTCTATTGCAAGGTACGCCCTCTACTCGCGTCCACTTGCTGGCATGTATTTCCATTTGTCTGGTGTGTTTTACGTAATTTGAAAATGATTGACCTAAGAGTGTGTGTGCGTGTATGTGTGTGTCGTGTGTGTGTGTGTGTGTGTATGTCAAGGACTTATCCTGCTATTTGCTATTCTCTGACCTGCACTGATCTATGACTTAAAATTTCTCTAATTTTGAGGAAAAAAGTATAGGGAAAGTGAGTTTGAGTCCAGACACAAACCTCACTGAAGTGGGCACAGGATTCTAACCCCAGGGGTGCTCAGGACACACTGATCACAAGAGCCAGCCTCAGGGGCAGGTGCAGATGGAGGCTAAGGTCTGGCTTCCTGTCAGCACTGTGGCTTTTTCTCCACAAAACATCCTCCCTTGAGGAATTCATCTGGACTCATGATTCTTTGCTTATCTCCAAAGTCTCTGAAATGAAAATGTTTGTTTTAATAAGAGAAAAACTTTCCCACATGTGCAAAAGACAGTCTCCTATGGTCACTTAATCTTGTCTTTAAATGTCAATTAATTATCAATGCTTCTGAAGTAAATCAGCTAAATCTATAAAATACACTTCGTTTAACTCAACCCTGCAGCCCAGCATGACAGCACTGACAGGGCCAGCAAGCAGCAGGCAGGTTACGGTGCATGCTGAACAATGGGGCGGAGGGAGTTAGCATCCAGTGCAAGAGAAGAAAGTGCCCGTGGTGGTCACCATCAGGACCCAAACTCACAGCTCCAATTGTAGATGACCCCGTGCAAAGGAAGAGATACCCTCACCAATGTTTAGTGTGGATGTCGAGTCTGATGGTGCCACACTCACACACCACGTGAATATGGAAAGATTTACCAACTCCAA